TTGAAAATATTTAAGAAATATAATTTTGTCTAAATATTAATGATGGAGAATTATTTTTTATTTTTGAAAATAAAGGATTATCACATTTTATTTTACCAAATATTTATTAATTTTTTATTATTATATTTTCCTAATTTTATATCTTTATTTACATTTCAAATATTTCTTTTTATATTTGTGATGGAGTTTTTTTTTACATTTTTAATAAATTAATAATATATTCATCATTTTTTTTTATTATTTTATTATTGAAATATATAAAATAGCATGAAGCCAATGTCATAGCTGACAAAGCAATCGGATTTTAAAAAAATTTCTAAATGGCACTACCCATTTTAAGTTTAATATATTTTTTATAAAAATTTTAAAATATAAATTTTATAAAGATTATATTAAAAAAAAAATTAAAGGAATATCTAAAATAAAATCAATATTAAAATAATTTATTATTAAATAAGGTATTTTAATTTTAATTAATACATCTAATCTTTAAGAAAAATTTAATATTAATTTTATAATGATTATTTTGAATTATGAAATAATTTTCTTATATTTTTTTTATTATAGTTTATAATTAATAAACTATTTTAAGAATTAAAGTTTTAAAAATCATTAAAATAAATTATATTAAATTAATCATTAAAATAATTTTTTTAAAAAATTAAAGCTTAAAAAAAAAATGTAAAAATATAATAATAAAAAATTATTAGAAAAATATTAAGACTGAAAGATTCATTCATAATTCTTTACATATATTTTACAAAATTTATTTTAAGAATTTTTTATTAATAGGTTTTTCTAAAAAATAAGGTATCCCAATCTATAATAGTTCAGATTTAATTTAAGAATCAGAATATCCTGTACATGCTATAACTTAGAAATCATTAAAATTAACTTAATAATAAAATTATTTAATAAGTTTAAAACATTCTTTTCCGTTTATTTCTGGCATATTCATATCTAAGAAAATAATAAGAAACCCAATTTTATTGACTTCCCACATATTTTTTATAATACATAAGGCTTCATTAGCTCCTAAAGCCTAGACTATTTCGAAATCTTAATCAATTTAATTTATGTAATTTTTTAAAACAAAAATATTAATTTGTTCATCATCTACAATAAGAATATTTTTTTTGTTAAATTATTAAGAAAAACTTTCAATTTTATCTTCTTAAAGTTCCTCACAATTAACTTTTTTGCATTAAATCATATCAGTTATTTTAGTTTTTGGTCCTTCGTTATGAATTTAAACTTCTTTATCTTTTATACTTTTAGAATTTGTATTTACTCTTGTTTTAATGTTATTTATACTATTATTAATTTTTTTGCTGTTATGTTGTTCATCTTCTCCCTCAGCAATTTCTTCGATGGAACTAATGTATATTTATTAATACAACTATTATCTATTATCATCTTAAATTTATTTATTTTCTTAATTTTATTTATTTTCCTAGTTTTATTTAGAAAGAAAATCCAATTAAGAAACGAGTTCACATTAGCTAGTTTAATTTCTCAAATAAAAATAAAAATTAGAGCCTTTATTTTCTTCAGATTCTACCTATAATTATTCTCCAAGATTTTGAGCTAAAATATTAGAAATTACTAAACCCAAACCTATACCTCTAGGATTTAATTTTTATTACTCTTCTGTATTTATTTTCCCAAAATCTTTAAAAAGTTTATTTAATTAATCTTTTTTTATTCCAATACCATTATCCTTGACTTCTATTTTTATAAATTCTGGTTTTTAATCATCTGATGAGCATCTAATAATTATTCTTCCGTTTTGTTTTGTGAACTTTAAAGCGTTGTTTATTAAATTAATTAAAATTTACCTTAATCTACTAGGGTCTGAAAAAACCTAAATATTATAATCTAGTTAAAAATCAACTTAGAGTACTATATTTTTCTGAAAGGCAATTATTTTCAACATATTAATTACTTAATCAATCACTTCCATAATAAGAAAAGGTTGTATTTTCAATGAAAATTTTCCTGCCTTAATTTAGGCTAAATCCAATATATCATTTACCATGCAATTTAGTTATTCAGCACTTTTAAGTGCAAGAACAAGAAAATCCTATACTTCTTTATTGCTTTTTTCAATATTTATTGCTGAGTCAATCATTCCTGTTATACAATTCAGTGGAGTTCTGAATTCATGGGCAACTTAAGAAAGAATTTTTGATTAGTTTTTGTTTATTTATTTTAGCAACTGTATTTAGTTAAAATGAGTAACATCTCTTACAATAAATACTACTGAAGGTTCTTTTTTGATTAAACATGGGAAACAATTAATTTCTAAAATTCTTGTTTATTAAGGTTTTTGATCAAATGAATATTCAATTTTACTTATTGAATCTTTAATAAAAAAATTAAATTTTTTAAATATATATTTTTTTACTTTTTACTTTATTTAATTTTTTTTCGTAACTGCATATTATCTAATATTAATTTAAAAATGTCTCGTATAGATCAGTCTTGTTTTGTATTATATGATTTTATAATTCTATTATAATTTAATTATATAATGACCCTAAATTTTTATCTTGGCTTAAATAAACTTCATTTATTTATTGAGCTTCTGTAATATTTTATATTAATTTTGATTTAAGAATACCTGTTTCATATTTACTTTCTTTTAAATTATCATATTCTTAATTTATTTATTCATTTGATTTATTTTTAATTCCGTTAAAGCCTAATATTGATTCTTGCATAGTATATTTCATATAAAATTAAGATTTGTTTGGAGATTTTGCTCCTAAAGACATTTCAGTTTTTCCTTAAAATATATTGTCCCTTTATTAAGAACCTATAGATTTTCCTATTATATACTTCATATTTAAAAGCAAAGGCATATTTAATGAATTTCCAATTGCTTGTCTTGTGTTTTTGGTATGGGATTCTATTGCATTTTCTAAAGATAACAGTTTTTCTACAGCAGAATGTTCTTTACATCCAAAAAATATTTCTAAAGATCTATTAATCATAAGAATATTTTTTTGGTTGCGCCCTAAAATAAGAATTCCTTCAGGAAGTATTTAAAAAAGCATTTCGTAATAAGCATCATTTTTATTTAAAATAGGTGATTTTTTATTTTTAAATCTATCTTTTTAAAAAAGGCTAATTTATTCTAATTATTTATAAGGGGATTAAAATTTATTATTAAACCTAATCTATTCTTACTAATCAATTTCTGTAACACTTTTTAAATTTTAATTATTATTATTTTAATCAAACAAATTGTTTTATAAATGTTTTTTATCTGCTGATAAATTAGGAGGTTTTTTTACGATATAATCCGTTTGTTAATTTTTTATTTTTTATGAATCTTTATCTTCATAAATATACTTAGAAAGAACAAGGTTATTGATTTCATCAGAATTTTTTTTTTTCTTTAAATTGAAATATTTAGCTTTTTTAATTGACTTTATTAATTAATACTCAACCCTTTTTCAAACTTAAAACTTTAAATATCATCTTAAATATTAAAATTAATTTTTTTTTATTTTCTTTTAAATTTTGTAAAAACCAATAATTTTTAAACTTATTTTCAGTTTTCACTTATAATTTTTAAAACCTTTATTATTTCATATTTTATTAATTTTCTTATTTAGAATCGAGTTTCATGTTAATTATTAAAAAAAAATATATAAAAAAGTAAGAGAATTAGCATCTTAAATTAATATTTTCATATTTAAATTATACCAAACGAATTTAGTAAATTAAATAAAATATAAACAAATTTATATATATCAAACATTCGCTTTTTTACTTAATTTTATGAGAAATTAACAAAGCAAAAATACATATCAAAGTTAAATCATTATTGTTTTCTTAAATATTTATTATTTAGTTCTTAAGTATTTAGTATTCTATTAAGATTACGCTTTCCGATATATTTAAAAAAAAGGTAAAAAATTTTTTATAACATTATAAGCATTTAATTCTATAATTTTTTTTCCATTTAAAAATATATAAGAGTATTAAAAAAAAATAATATAAAAGTAACGGTGAACCTATCATAATTAATATTTTTTATTTTCCATCATATAATTTAATAAAAGTTATCATATCTGTTAAAATAAATAAAAAAAAAATGCATCCGTATATGATAAAAATGAAATATTTATTAATTTTTAATATGTTAAAACTCTAAATTATTTATTTTATTTTCATATAATTAATTTATTTTTATAAAAATTTTATTCTTTTTAATTATATATTTAAAAAATTCCCTTTTACATGATATTTTATTTTTTTAAAGGAATGTATTAACATAAAATATTTAATTAATTTAATATTAATTTAAAAACATTTTTTGTTAAATTAATTATTTTAATTTAATCAATATTTATAATAATATATTAAATAATTTTCTTTATATTAATAGATAATATCAGCATAAAAATTGTTTAATTTAAATATAAAATATTAATTATAATAAAACTTAATTATTAATGCACAACCAATTACACTAAATCTTAACCTTAATTAAGTATTTATAATTAGCATTTTTAATTTTTTTTATATAATTAAAAAATTTAAATTGTTGCCCTATAATTTTATTTCTCATAAAATTAATTTTTAATAAAAAATGCTTATGTTTTTAAATTCTTAACATTATAATTAAAACTTCAACAAGATAAATATTCTATTATTTAATTATTTAAATAAAATATACTTTATTTTAACAAATACAATTATTATATTAATTATATTTAATTACATATATTTTTACAATTCTACTTCAATAATAATTAATTATTTAAATTTTATATTTTATTTGTACATAATAAATAATATTATTTTTTATTAATATATAATATACTAATTGATTTTTTATTATTTTTAAAATAAAATATAAAAGATTAATTATATTTCTAATGAATATATTATTTTTTTCTTTATTATGGCCTAAATTAAACTATTCCGCAGCTTGTGTTCGTACTTTTGGTTTGTTAAATAGTTTAAATAATTATTCAAACAACATAGCATTTGTATCCGCAGCAAAATTAGAAAAGCAAAAGTAAAGTGATATAATAAATAATTAAAAAATAAATCTGTACAAAGTAGACTGCAATAACATATAGCAAATGAAAAGTTTATTTGACTAAAATTTAAATTTTGTCCCTGATATAGCTATTTTCGATACATTTATATGTGAAGAAATGTATAGTCATTACATAAAAAATTACTTTCCTAAATGTTTAAAAATATTAGATTTATAAGATTTACATTCATTAAGAATAAATAGAGAAAACATTCTTTAATAAAATTAACATCTAACAGAAGAAGAAAAAATTAAAATAATTTTAAATAATGGATTCCCTTAAGATAATTACAATAACGATCTTTTAAATAGAGAATTGGCAAGTATTTTTAGAAGTGATATAGTATTAACTTGCAGTGATTATGAATATATTAATTTAAAAAAACATTATAATGTAAATAATTTATAATTAGTAACTTTTTTTACCCGAAATAAGAAGAAAATTAAGATAAATACAAAAGGAATAACTTTGTTTGGATAGGAAACTAAACACATAGGCCAAATGCAGATAGTTTATAATTACTAATTTAATAAATATGGCCTTAAATTCATAAAAAATTACCAGAAACATAATTGCATATATATGGCTCTAACTTCTAATAATAATTTAGCCATCTAGAGTCTTTAAATCTTAATATAAAAAGTAAAGGTTTAATGAAAGATTTAAAAGACTTATCGAAATACAAAGCATTAATAGCTCCTATTAGATATGGAGCTGGTATCAAAGGAAAAATTGTTGATAGTTGGGTTTACGGAACACCAGTTATTACTAGTCCAATAGGGGCTGAAGGACTTTTTTTGTATAATAATAATGATTCAGAAAAAATAAAATAATATTATCAATATGAAGATTTTAATTAAAAATAATCTCTTTTATTTGGAGGAAGCTTTTATAATTTTTCTATAGATGATTACGTTAATTAAATAATCGAAATTTATTAGAATTAAGTATTATGGAAATAATATTAGAAAAATGGGTATAAAATTATTTAATAAAGAATGAATTTAGAAATTAATAAGGAAAAATTTAATTAGTATATTTTTTAGAGTTTAAGAAATATTGAAACTAATAGAAAAAATAATTTTTAATATAATCTTTTCTGGAATTAAAGTCTAAGGGCAAATGAATATTTGGTAAAATATATAAATGAGAAAAAAAAAATTAAAAAAAAATTGAAAATAAAATAAAATATATATGTTACAAATTTAATGTATTTATATCGTAGATTTTTTAGATTATTTAACTTTTAATAAAAATTTAAAAATAATTATATAATTATATGTTGTATTTTAAATTTTTTTATAAAAATTGGTTAATATATGCTTTTAAATTTATAATTTGAATTTTAGTGAATATAATTATTTTTAAAACTTTAATTAAAAATTTAGTAAATTTATTTTATAAATTACAACAATTTTTAATACAAATGTTTTTAGTTTTCATATAATTTTTTTATATTAAATTTTAATTTTTAAATATAAAATACGTATAAACGTTATTATGAAAAATAATTCCCAATAAGAATATAATATTTAAAGTAATATTTTCATAAAGCTAATTTGTTTATTAAAATTATATTTTATTAATCGTTTTCATTAAGTAATTATTAATATAGCATTTATTTATTTAAATCTTTAGTTATAATAAAATATTTATGTTTTTCAGTTAACGCTCTTCTTACAAATTAAATTTAATATAAAAATGCTTAAATATATTCATAATTAATTGAGAATTATTTTTCTAAATTGATATAATCAATTATTAATCTTAATATCATTAATTTTTCTTCATATTTATTATATTATTTAAGAGTTTAATAAACACAGTCTATAATATTAATTTGTTATTCTTCTTTTCCCTCATTTTCTTCTTTTTCTTTTTTTTCTTCTAATAAATTCTTAAAATGTTAATATTCACATAAGAATCCAAAATATACAACAATCTTAGGAAAATTAATTTATTCTTATGAATTTTTATATCTAATAATTATGTTATAAATTCCAGATATATCTATTCTTTCATTACAAATCGCCATTTTTTCATAAATATAATTTTAAAGAAACTTATAATTTTCGTCAATATTTTAAACCAACTAATTATGTTAATATTCAGTTAAATAAATTAAATTTTAAAAACTTGCTTGCAACTTAGCTTATTTTAAATTCTACAAAGCTAATGTTTTAAGTACTTTCTAGTTGAAATATGCTAATTATTTTTCTTTTAGTATTTAAAAATTATCAATTTATGAAAATTGTGATACAATTTTAGAAAGTAAAAGCATTTCTAATAACTGAATATATTATTATATATCATCTTCGGATAAATAAGTTAGGAAAATTTGAACATATATAAGTGTTATTTAGTAGGATATATTTTAAATTGATAAAAAATTAATAAATTCATTCCAAAAAGAAAATATTTAGTCTTATTATTAATAAAATTCATCAATCGGTAAAATAAGGTCAAATATGTGAAAATAAAAAAATGGAGAGACCTCTTAAATAGAAATTTACAACGATGGGAAAAATGGAGTTTCTAAAATTAAATTTTATAAATATTTTTCTTCTTCAAATTAAGAAAAAACTTCCGACTTCAAATATTCCCTCGCACTTTAAGAGAAAATTGGATTATGAAATAATAAACAAAACAAAAGTATTTTTTTCCAATCATTAAATTTTTATTTTATTGTAATTATATTACCGCTTAATATTTATAAAAGTTCCTTTAAACTTTCATCATCTTCGCAAATATTTAATAGCTCTATCCTATTTTTTAAAAAATTATAATTTAATTTTGCTTATTTATTTATAAAAAAACAAGATACATTTTTTATTAAAACATGTAATGTCTTTCTTAAAATTCATTTTTTGGAATTCTTCTTGCATCTTAGCCTTTATAAAATATTTTTTTTGTTTTAAGTGAATCTGCTATAGAATTAAGTATATTTTATTTTTCTTTATTATTTTCTACATAATTATTCCTCTCTAATAAATTTATTACTTAATTAATATCCATATTTAGAATATAATAATATATTTATCCAAAGAAGTCACTTCTGCTTGGATTTTATAATTAATCTTATTCTATTTATTAGCTCAACCAATAAACTAGCTATTCAGTTGTATGGGAAGTCTTTTTATTTTCAAAAATGATTCTTCTATCAAATTTATAATTTTTTATAAGATTCATATATTAAAATCCTATCTTTTTATTTTTTTTCTAATAAATATATTTTTTTTTTATTACGACTGCTTCTTTAAAATATTTGGATTATCTTTTAAGTTCTAAATAATTTTTTGTTGAAATTAAATAATTTGAAAGTGTATTTTCTAATAATTGATGATATTTTTATATATAAATCTAATTATTTTCTTAAGATTCTAAATAATATTAAAAACTTTTAGAATCTTTTATAACTGTTTCTTAATGATATTTTTCTTAAATAATTTATGAAAAAGAATTCACTAACTTTTAAAAATAATATAATATATTTTTTTTATTTTTTTATACTTATATATAATCTTAATCAACTTATTCTTAATATGAAACTACAATTTTAGAATTTACACAAGAATTTTTTACTATAAATAATTCATTATATGTACCCCATGTAAAAATAACTCTCTAAGGCACCCTTTTATTATAAAAAATTGATTTTTAAGAACTCATTTTAAAATTTAAATTAAAATTAAAAAAGATACAAATAATTAAAAAACAAAATATTAAATATATTTAAATATTATAATTAATATTAATATTTTTATAATAATGGTTATATAAATAATAGAATACTATTTAAAACATTATATATATAGAGTTTTTTTTATGTGTAATCAATTATCTAATTATTGGTTTAATATTTATTAAGCAGCTTCGATTATTTTTTTTATTTTTTCTTTATTAAATTCTAACTATTATCTTTTTTAGTATCTGCAAGTAACAATGCTGAAATACAGCTTTAATAACAATGCCTAAAATACTTCCAATAGAGAAAGCTTATATTTCAAAAATATAAATGTAAAAAGTAGAATCATTATAACTTGTTAGCCGGTTATTTGAATAATATGTAATACATATAATATACCTAGATTTTTAAGGGACATATATGCAATTGTTTATTAAAATATTAAAATACATATAAAAATTAAAATTCATTTAAAATAAGGTATTATTCAGTATGTTTTTATTTTAGCTTAATAATCTTTATTTTCTTTTTAAAGACGAACAATTTCTCTTATTCCATATAAACTTAAATCTATCCGTAAAAATAATATTTAAATAATTATATTACCTAATATTTTTAATAAGATAAACTCTTATTAAGAAAAATTTGCGTTTCCATCACATTCTTAATATAAAATATAATAAATATCTAATATTCTAATCTGAAAAAAACGTAAAAATTTTAATATAAGAAAAACATTTAGATCTTTAATTTTATTTTATATTTCTTCATTTTATTATAATTTTAGTTTGCTAATTATTATTAAGAGATATTTGTAAATTCTTTACCTCTTTATTAGAATATTATTGATTAGTTAATCATACAAATAATCATTTTTAGCATTATATATTTGTTTTAATCTATTAGTTTAAAGTATTTTAAAATTTTAAACTATTCATCAACATAAGTCTAGGAAATCATAAATATATTTTAAATAAAGTTTTAATTGTTTGCATTTTAGTTGATGTAATTTATTATTTTTATTTATTCTTTATCATTAATTTTTTTTTTCATATATTTAAGAATCTTTGAAAAGTATTTCAAATATACATATAATATTTTTCATATTCATTTTGATTTATGAGCCTTAATAAAAATATGAATATAAAAAATTAATAAATTTTTCTTAAATATACTAACTATATAAATCATTTAACAATTTTTAATTTGAAAAAATGTTTATTATATTTGCACTTAAATATTAATTAAGTTTTAAAATTGTTTAAATATTAAAGTATTTACTTTCAATTAATAAATGATTTTATGATATGTCATCAAATAAATAAATTTATTAACTCTTTTAGATTATTTTTATAGCTTAAAATATTTAATAAACATACTATTGAAATTTGAGTCAAATAATATAATAAATATATTATTTTCCATATATCAATAAACTTTTCAAAACTAAAACTAAAATTATAATTAAATATTTAACTTTATAATAAAATTACAATATGTAATATGTTTCTATGTATTTTTATTTTTTCTGTAATTATTTTTAAAAACTCAAACATCAAAAAAAAAAGTCTTTGTTTTTTTGATTGAGTTTAAAAAAAAATAAAAAAAGATAAAAAAAGCAATTAGAACAAATGATATTTAGTATTATTTATTTTGTTGTAACAATGTAAGATTTTATTTAATAATATCAATAAAAAAGTTAAAATAATTTGATTTTCTACTTATCTATTATCTAAATAAGGTTTTATAAAAATTCTTATTTTTTAATACATCTAATTTATATTATAAATTGTTTTTTGTATAATAGATTAGATTCTGCTAAATCTTTAACCATAAGTGATTCTTAATAGGAATATATATTTATGTTAATAAAAATTTCTAATTAATATTATAAGGTTTCTTGTTTTTCATTTTTTAAAATATCTTATAATATTCGAATAAAATGGCTTTAATAAGAATACTAATGTTAAAGAAAAAATATATTTTAGTTTATAGGGAATAAATCAAAGAATATGAATCCACAAATTAAATTAAAAATAAAATAATAATTAAAAGTAAAAGTAAAAAAAATAGAAAAAATATTCTTCATAAATGATAATTAGGAAATAATGGAAAAAAATTAAAGAAGAAATAAGTCATCTTTCAACATAATTTTTTACAAATACATATTTTGACAAAAATCTAAAATATATCCCAATAATTTAAATGATTAATATCAAATTTTAATTAAAAAATAAATTAATTAGAAAAATTAAATAATTTTAACATTCGAAGAGGGCAATGATTATAATGATATAAATGTAACTAAGTAGATTATATAGACATAAATAGCATAAATTAAACTTTTAATGATTTAAATTTAAAAACTAAAGAATTCA